CTACTATTATTATTACTACGACTACACAGTGAATTTGGATTCTCACTGGCTTCAACTTTGAGTGCAGAGCTGAGGTATCTACGATGTCTCCAGCTCAACAAACTTCCAGGCAGGATCCTCGTACAGCTTCCTGGCTGGAACGGATTGCACCATCGCCCTGGCAAAGATGCAGCATGGCCAAATTGTGGAGCCTTAGTAACTTTAATTAGGATTCCGTTCGATTCAGGAATGTGCAAGGTGGCAATGAGAGCCGCGCAGCTTGACATACAGTGCGTACATCGGCTACAACTCAGGTCTTATGACAAGGCACTGCTCAACAGCCTTCGTTTTCAGGACTTGCAGCCTGAAGAATGGAAGGCTGGGTTCCAAAACCCGGAGTGGAATCGTATCGCATGTTGTCACTTGCGTTTCATGATGAGAGCTTTTGCCACCTTGCAAACGTCTACCTTGGAATGTCAGGCTTTGGAGGGCTGGATTGGCTACATGGATAGCAAGTACTCCTGCGTGGGCCGGCTCGAGGAGCTTGCTTTCGGAGTCATTGACTGCAACACCTATCAGATCATAGGATATCCAAGAGACGGTACCTGTAGAAACTGGCTGGCAGACATCCTCCGCCTAACTTATGCTGCACAGGAGTATGCTCGATTTCTCGACGAGCATGGCATTAATCGTTAAGTGAATGGAATGAGGCAGCAGGTCTAGGCGTGTGCCAGAATGGAATGAGGCAGCAGGTCTAGGCGTGTGCCAGATCTTCGTACGGGAGCCAAATGCAATAAGCTTCCTGGCAAGAATTCAACTGGAGAGCAGTCTGAGCCAGCCAGTAGTGCTGCGACAAGCTCAAGTCTGTTTACAAGCAGCTACAAAGTAGCTTTGCTTGCTAGCAGGTTTTCCACGTGGATTATTTGCAGCGCTGACAACAGTGTCAAGGTGAGATAAAATTGTCAAACCGATTACCAATAGTCGGTTGATTCTCTGAAGGGACTTGCCTGTATGGTTCGTATCAAGTGGAGGTGGAATCCAAATGCGGATGCCATAGTGCGGCAAACGCTTCAACTTGCGAGTAGAGGGACATAGGGACACACAGGCTCCAGTTGTGATGGGGATTTGTTCAGGCTGGATTGGCAGTTCTGTTGTGGTTTCCTGCTTTCGAGCCAGCAAATTTTTGCACAGGCTGAAGACGACGTAGAAAAGCATGTCATGAAAGGTCAGATGAGCAGTTCTTTATCATTTGTGCAGCGTGCGCAACTTCTCTGAAAACAAACTACGCAAATTGAGGTATTCACTCACCAGAAATTTTCGAGAGTGCCCTGTCTCTTTCTCGGGTCTGACTCCTGGCCCACTCTGGCTTGTGGCTGCTTGGTGTGCTGTTTATAAGAGTGAATAGGAAGCATGCAGAAACTGTGACATGTACAGTTGACAGACGCATCAAAGAGCACGGGAAATTTCAAGGGCAAGAGATGTTAGTCCTTGAATTCTTGCAACGGCAGGCTTTTGGCTGAAACTTGCTAGTCAGTTTCATTTTTGAACTTCAATCAATGGATCTCCACAGGAGACGATTACGGTTTTCGGCTTGTGCTCTCGGCCTGGTTTCAGCAAGCATTGCTTTCTCACGTGCACCTGGTCACCACGCACGCGTTCCGGCCAAAGTAGTCAGTCACACGCAGATGCAAGTCGTCCAACCGTGGAGCGCAGCGTTTGAGGAGAGCTGGCAAGTGCCTTCCAATGCGTTGTCTGGAAGCCTTTTGCGGAAAGATGGGCAATACGTTGCGGCAATCGAGTGGGCATCCCAGGCGGATTGCGATGCTTGGCTTGAACAGCCTGGCATGGAACAAACCCGAGCCCTCACAGCCCAGTACGTGGTCTGCGGCATGTCACACGATGCGCCAGCAGTCACGACGACAAGTGCTCCTCAGCAGAAGGCATTCGCCCGTGAGCTGATGGACAAGGCCTTCGAAGGCGGTGTTCGGAGCAGGGCTGACTTAGATGCGCTGAATCGAGCTCCTGAGGTGGATCCATCGGTCTTGTTTGCAATCTCTGCAGGCGAGGACGTGGACATTGATGAGTCTGATGAGGTGTTGATCTCCGGGGGAGATCCTATGTTCCTCAGCGATGAACAATGGTCAAGAAGGGTTCCGAATGTTCCGACAAATTCAGCCAAAAGACAAATTCCAAGTCAAGCGATGAACGACCATGATGAAGAAAACGACGAAGAAGATGTGCTATTCCATGGAGGCGATCCAACATTCCTTGATGACACGGTTTGGGCCAGTAGTGCAGGCAAAAAGCATGAAGACGAAGAGTGGGATGGAGTGGAAGATGATACAGCGCATTTGTTCGACTGACATGTTACCTGTGAATTGTTTGGCACCAGTCGAAGCCGTTCTTGTTCAGACAGCCTAGCGGCAAATGTGATAAGAGCAAAATGTTGGTCTGAAGCCGTTGGCTCTTTGCTCGGTTTACACCAGCTGCGGCAGGCCGGCAAGACAACGTTTTGCATGGGGCCCTGGGCCGCGATTATAGATAGTGGGTACAAGTTTGATGCATCTTTCCTAGACTCCAAAGACATTTGGAGATCTTGTTGGTTTGTCTCACCGCTGGCACTAAGCGAGCCCGCATCCGCTGGCGCTTGGAATACGAACGCCAGATAACCTCGAACAGAGCATGCATGGATTCAAAAAGCAAAGGGCATGGAGGCCGGAAGGTCTTCGACCATTTCAGGGCATGCAGGTAGTGCCAGGCTGCTGTACCAGGCAACTATAGAACCAAGGAAGCCAGCGAGGCAGCGAGGAGGATTGGTCTGCTGCATAGCTGTACACTCTACATCAGTTCATAGCCAACAGCCCGAAGATCAGATAGACCCTTGCCCACTTTGCCTACGTAACTTCAGGAGCGATTCTAACCCACTAACCGATCATGCCTGCAAGCAGCCTGCAAGATTTTCTACGCAGTACGGGGCAAGTTGAAACGCCTACGCCACGAATCTTTCAAACCCCAGCTTCCATCAGGATACCTCAATCACTCAAAAACTTGGTCGTCATCGAATAGGGTTGACTTGGCAGTGCTGTGATACCTACTCTTCACGATTGCAAAGCTGCCAGCCAAAAGTGAAATGGGGTTTGTAAAGCTGCAAGTTTACAGGAGCAGCACCTGAAGCTTTCGCGTCTGAGTGCACCTCCGCAACTCAATTTCTTGCGGTTCACTCCAAATACTCTCTCAACGTGAAGACTATCTGCAGTTTGCAGCCACTGATTGACTTGCAGCACTAGCCGTTGCGAATGATGAGTGCTCTTGTAATTATCAAGGACTGTTTGTGCGGCTGATGCCCATAAGCCTGATCATGTAGCTACTTCCTCTTGTTCTGCCAACGTGGCGCTCAGTGTCTGTACGCCTTAGACCTGAGGTCGGCGAGCCATGCGCGCACTTTGGTTCGTGACCCAGGGGCTGAGCTGTGAAGCCTTTTTGTTTTGTCCAAGCCACAAAGTATAACGCAATCCGCAGCAGCTCTGGCAGGCAACGTGTCATATCTCCTTGCCGAGGAGCGCAACGGAAGATAGTGTGGCTACGTGCTGTTTAATTATTTGGAGCCAAGTGTCTCTTACAAACTGCAGGAGTATGACGCGTGGCACAAGAAGGCAATTGCACAAGCTCCCAGATTAGACCTGAAGGACGTTCTTATCACGACCTGTTCTTCCAAAAGCTACTGAGGGTGCTGTGCAGGAGCTTAAGGCGCAAAATTCAAAGCCCATCAAAAGGCTGCCAGATCCTTACAACCAGAACTGCAGCGGCCTGCGGAACTACCTGAAATGTGCCTCCAGGCAAAGAGTCCTTCATGTGGTGCCATATGTGCAAAAGCCTCAGAGTCAGCAGGCTACAGGATTCCCAGCTCGCAAAAAGGTCGCCATTGCTGATATCGTAGTTTCCATAGACCCCAATCTAGATCCTAAGGCACAATCATCAACTATAATCCTGGTAATGGGGGATTCCCCAGAACATGCTGGGTGGGCAAATTCAGTTTCCGCACTTTTGCATGAGGCGCGAGGAGTTTCCACAACTTGCAGAGCCTGCGGGTTTGTCTCCCAGGACAGCTACTTGCGTCAAGAACGCAGTGGAACGAAATTGGCTGTAAAGACCATCATTGTATAATTTGGGAGGGGAGGGGAGGGGAGGGGAGGGGGAGGGGGGGGTTGCATCCATCAAAAAACTTTGGCATGCAGGAATACGAAGGGTTCTATTCCAGCAGACGTCCGCGCTGAACATTACGGCACTGTCGCGAAGAGCTCAGCCATTGGGCTTAGGAGAGCTTCGAAATGTGTCATGCCTTGAGCGTTGCGGTGTAGAGCCTCAGCGGCAAAGCAAGTCAGACTGTAGGAAAGAGTTGCTGGCTCAAGCTTCAAACGGATTTTCGCAAAGGTGGGACGCATCGTCAGCCAGCCCGGGGCTTGTTTGCCCCTTTTGAAGTGTTGCGCAGACCTGCTTTCGTGCATTGGTCTCACTCCTACAACTCAGGCGGATTCCTCTGCTGCTGGTGGACAAGAGGAGGTAAGGCATACCATTTTTTCAAGAACAGTCCTCTGTAACTATGACTGTCTGGGACACCTTTCGCGTGCAAGTCCCTGCTTCCGTTTTCAGCCACCTGCAGTGTTCGTAACGTATGCTCTGATCATTCATCCTTTTGTGATTCGCGCTGCTGGGCAAACGGGCCATGCTGAGCTTCCTGCCCAGGAGTCCTCCAGGTTACCTGCAGCCAGAAGAAGAGCTCAGGCCGATGCCTATACAGTTCAACCAATATCTTGAATATCATTTGCTGACCAGCCTGTGGACCTAGGTTCAGCGAGGGCTTTGAGGTTGTTGCTGGCACCCAAGGGAAGCAGCTGCCTCAGCATCCTCCCCTCGAACTTTCACTGGGCTGCAAAGAGCCACGGGACAACTCAGGTCCTGCGTGGAAGTTTGTCAGATGAGGATCGATCTTCTTTGCGACGCCAGCTCCAACCACGGTACAGAACGTTTTGACTCCAGTGGCACAACAACCTTGAGTCGGCCTTAAATTAGCAATATCTAGCAACGCTCATGGAATACCAGGAGTGCGAAGTGCGAGAAGCAACAGCAGAAAACTCAGTTTCAGCCCATCCTTGGAAGATCCCGTAACTCGGACAGAAGAGTGACATCAGTGTGAGGATATACTTCTTGAACGACTGCAACCTCCTGAAGCTGCACTTCCCTTGCGAGGCATTCTCCCACAGAGTGTAGCTACTAGCGGGCCTGTACAATCTAGCGACAGGCTGGCTGCGCGCACCAGGCCAGACTTGTCCCTAGAACCGTAGTGGTGGTGGTGGCGGTGGCAAGAGCTGCAGCTGCGCAGAGGTAGGCAAAGAGCTTCCAGTCTATGTCCCAGATGAAGCTGAAGCCACAAAGGGGCAAGAAGCTCGGTGGTCTGTTCTTGCCGCATTTAGTCTCCATGCGATCTCAGTGGAACAGAAGCAGCAGACTTAGCTCTTCATGCACACGCGCAATTACAGGAGCTGTGACCAATCAGTCCGGTCCCGTGATTCTTGAGGCAGTGCTTGCTGACCTTCATCTCGCCCGGGGCATGTGAGGCATGGCAAGCAGAGCTTGAGCTGAGCTTGAGTCATGGTGTTCAAAGGCGAAGCACAAGAGCACATCGCGCCTCTGTCCCTGCACCAAGAAAGGGAGGTGACCCAGCTAAGAGGCGCGGCGAGGAAGCAATTCTCACCTGACCCTGGTCCTTCCTCTCGCGGCACTTTTGCTGAATAGGTAGAACCTGATGCGGTGCCCGATCTCGGCGCCCTGGCATGGAACATGGAGCAGCGCTGCTCTAAAAACCGCCAGGCTCGCACAGCGCAGTCGGGGAAAACATCCAGAGCGCAGCAGAAGTGCAAAATGCCCTACTGGCACATGTTGATTCCTGGCCACCGCTTCCCACTTCAGATTGCATCATGGTTGGTCAAGAGTAGCACAGGATTCCAGGCATCAGGTTGGTAGCTGCATCGCTCGTCGCCGGGACAATGCCGTGGACTTAGCAACTTAAGATCGGACTTTTGATTGCTGGAGTTTAGCCATGTGGTCCTTTGTCATTGGGCTGATGTAAAGTTCTTTTGGATGTGCAGCGTTGTCTAGAGCAATCCGCTTGGGGATTTGCAATCGGCGCAATACCAGATAGAGGGGCCCCAAATGGGGGCTAGGGAGACCAATGATCAGAGCACGCGCACCAAGAATTGTACGGGAACAGTTTGAGAAACGATTAGTCGTGAGGCACAGAGGCGGCCGGGCAAAATCCTGGCGCCGCCCAGCGATGGCGGCAGCACTTGCTGGCACTATTGCCACGACAAGGCAGGGTTGATGTACTTCCAGGTCCAGATATGTATCATTCAAGATGCCTCTGGTACTCGTGGAAAACAGCCTCATTCTTTCCTGATGTTACGCACATGCCCAGCGATCTGCAGTTTGAGTCGACTTGTCGACAATTTGCAAACTGCTGAAGTCAGCTGGTCAAGCTCCTCTGTATGCCAGGTCGCTTCAATTCCAGGGAGCCTCTGCAACGGCTTTTGTACCATCGCAGGTCATACCGCGAAGCGCAGTGCTCAGCATGATTCATGTGCTGATGTTGGATGCTGCAACAGCCTTGGAGACCTACAGTGACAGAGACTGGAGGCCTGGCCTCACATCGAAGAGCCGAGACAGAGGAGGTGCTTGCAACTTCGACGCACCTTGCATAGTTAGTAAGTCCTCGCTACTTAGCTTGCAGGCGCCCGCTGCTGGGGCCTGCTGCTTACTGCAACTACGTGCTTGGGAAGGAAGTCTCACCACAGTTCCGTACGGCACAGGTCAACACCGCAACCGCAACCAAAAAGACTGAGGCAGGGCAATGATGGTGGTCTGTTTCTTTAGACCATCATTCTTGCGACCTCCAAACTCAGAAGTCGGAAGAAGGGAATCGTTGCAGACCCAGGGCGTTGATTGCGACAGGGGTATCTCCCTGTCCCAGAACTTCATGAAGTCCCCAGGGATATCTACCAGTAATTTCTCAATGATTGAGGTGTGCCATACGTTCGCGGCCTGCCTCACTCGACGTAATAGTCTGCAACAGCCTGTTGTTCTTGGCATGGTTGGCCTAGAACAGCACGTGTGAAGTATGTGAGACTGTGATGCCATGCGAGTACTTTTTGTGTCTGGAATTCTGGCGAGCGACGATGTAGCAGCATGCGAGATGGGGAAAGATCAGGGCCTGAGAGGGGAGGACGTCAGATCTGTTGAACTTGTGCTTCTTGGGAGCAGGGTGAGAGAGAGGCTCTGGGTGGCGGTCGAGACATCTTTTTACCTACATCTTATCGCCTGCGCACATCAAGAGCATCCAGGGCAGCCTGAACACGTGCAGCTTGGTGCATGGAGGGGCGCTTGTGTACAAGCTGACAAATTAAACATTACGGATACAGATGGCATGGCATTTTGGTCTCCAACGCCTGCACATGAAAACCCAAGCCGAGAACCTGCAAGTTTTGTGTTTGACGCTGCCCGCCCCTACATGCCCGCCCTGCTCCCCACGTTTTTTTCGCTTCTCGCAGTCTGTCCTTCGTTGGCTGCCGTCAAACTCCGTCGCGCTTCTCTTTCGCCATTCATGCTCCCAATATTCGTGACCCTCCTGGCGCCAGAACCCAACATCTTACGAACAACCTCCAGCTGGGCATGGGCATCTTGAAGTTTTTCCTTTGGACGAGATGAGAGACTCTGGCAGCATGTCATCATGCATCTCTCAGGGTACTGCTGCACGGGATAATGCCATAGAGGATTTTTGCCGCGGAAAGCTTCCTGGTGCTCAACCGAGGAGTGGAGGAGTGGATGAAAAGATTCTCTCCTGGCTATCCCCTACCTGTGTAGCAGCACCTATATGCGCTTTAGCACCAGAAAGAGACTGTACTGAAACCAGAAGCGACTTCTCCAGCACCCAGCTGCATGATAAACCGCGCAACCCTAAGCCCGAAAGCCAAACGGGCTGTGAAGACGGAAGCAGAGGAGGTACGTCAGTTGGAGGAGGCAAAAGCAAAGGGGTTAACTTTCCCATCGACGAAGGAGACACCTGAGAGTTACCTGCCCAGAGGGCAAACGGACCCCGGGCATGACTTCCAGGCGTAAAAAGGCCGACAGGGTGAAAAAAAGCAATCAACACCCAAGCCCCAAACTCATAATCCTAGTGTCCAGTGTGTTCGATGATTTTCCGTTTTCTTTTCCATTTGATTCTCAATTCCTGTAGTTCTTAAGCCCGATCGACCCTGAACCATTTGAGCTACTGCCAATATTTGGGTTACCAAGGGACCCAAAAGGTTGGACCGGTGACCGGGGTCCCTTTGGCAGCTTAGTACAGCCTTTTCTATATTCCCTAATGGCTGGGAACTCATGTCCATGAAGTATCTGGGAAGTATTGACTTGACTATCATAGTTCATATGAACCAAGTTTCATCGCAGTTCTGCTTAACCTGGCTCCATGATGAAGGTGGCAACGTTTGCCATGGGCTGATTCTGGGGCCCACAGGCTCGTTGTTGAGACAACTTTCAGGTTTAGGGTTCAGGGCTTAAGGGTTAGGGTTGATTCTATGTCAATTTGTAGCTGCATTCTCCGAACTGGCACAGGCCCAATTTGACAAAGTTCCAGGTGTGCTGAAAACGAAGCTCTGATGCATTCGGTGCAAGCATGTCAGGTTCACCAGGATTTTTGGATGATGTTTCCATTTTTGCCATCGCCTGTTCTGCATCATCCAGAATTAGACACTCAAGGAAGTCACATCTGAGGACTGTTGGTTACACTGGCGGAAGAAACCCCAAGCCTTCCTACGAATCCGTTTGCGGTGGAGATGGGCACACAGAGGAAAGGGGAAGCATCTGGCATATGTCGCGTGATGTATTAGCCATATGGTCCAGAATCTGTTCCAGGCCATCCAGATCGAGTACGATCCAGAGCAGGTCCGGAGAAGGGCTGGGCATTGCGGCGGAAGATAGATAGCTCAACTTGGCCTTGCGACTGCGAAAGATGTTCCTCCACAGGTAAGCTATGACTCGCTCCTTGAGTCCTTCCTGCAAGGCCCCAACAGCTCAGCCCTACACTTTGTCCAGGATCCAACGGCCAAGAACGTGCCGAATAATGTGTATTTCCACGATTTTCCACCTGCAAAGCTAAACACACCAGTATACAACTCGTACATATTAATATACACATACTCATACGACAAGATAAGTATAATATGGATTGTGTCATTCTGACTGTGCCTCCTTTTGCAGGTCACCAGCCTATGCGCTCCAAAGCTCAGCAACTTGCCGCGCAAAGAAGTGCAGTCTCTCACTGTATGTGGAGGCTTCCAGCATATGGGCCCCGAATATGGACCCACGAATATGTCTCAATCCTTATGATGAGGACTCCGCGAAGGGGCCCCTAGCTTTTGGAAGTGTCTATACAATTCTGTCTGGGAATTTCTCAACAGTAGGGGCCCTGAGAGACCTTGGGTACATGTACATATATATATATATATCATATAAAGATATGATATATATATATACACACCAATTTACATATTTATATAGATGCGTAGGGGCACGTTTCTGAGCAAATTGCAACAACCTCTCCCCAGACATGGTGTGGTGTTGTAGGCTTTGGAATGCTTTTGAATTATTAAAACTCAGCAAGAGGTTTTTGAAGCCGTTGACTGCTCGGGTATGGCAATCACATGCAGATGCAAGCAATTCTCCCTTAGAGGACAGGGTGCAAAGCAGACCACGGCATACAACAGGTCATCCTGAACCTGCCGGCGCACCGCATTTCTTTGAGAAATTAAATAGCCAATGGATAGATAAGAGTTTCTCAACATTGCCCGAAAGCAAACTTGTTTGCGCTGGACATGTGCACAGCTAGGGTGGCAGGGAGGGTAGAGTTCCACTCCTGCAGCCACAGGGGCTGACAGCTCCTGCAGGAGATTTGTTTCTCCCACGCCGGGCCCTCTGCTGCGCTCATGGCAGCGGCGACCGCGGCTCTTTAAGTCCTTTCAAGAGTTTCGAGCAGGACAGCAAGTGAAGGGCGCGGGCCTCTATGAGTCTGTTCCCCGACAAGGCAACGGCCATTGGCTTCAGCACCATAGAGGAGGTCAGATCTTTCTACGGCCTGGCGGACGAGCCCTGGCGGGCATGGCACGACATCGTCGGCAACCCGGACATCAGGATCATGGCAGCGCTGCCCGCAGGGGCCGTGGTGGAGAACTGCATGCGGGTGGTCTTGCCGGGGAACCTGCCACTGTCTCCGACTCAGGCGGCCCAAATTGGGCTGGTGTGGCGCCTCTGCAAAAGGATCTCCTGGACAAAAGGCGGCGGGGACTATGACAACTGGAAGGACGAGGATCCGTGGACTTCCCCTCCTCCAGCTGCGCCTCCGTCTACAACGCCGGCTTTGCCACCGAAAGGCCTGAAGATGTCCCAAGTCATCGATCAGTCGGACGAGAGCGAGTTCTTGGTGGATTCCGTGGCCACGGCGGACAGATGGTACCAGAGGTACGTGGCTACCATGGGCGCTCCGCCACAGGAAGAAGAAGAAGCCAGCATCGAGCAGCTCAGCGCCCTTAACAGGAGGGTGCACACTCTGGATCAGGCGCCTTACGTGGACTTGGCAGTTTGGTTGCCGTATGGGAGCAGGGCCTTGCGCACAGTCAAGTTCCGCGCGTGGATTCCTGATGGCCAAGGTGGATACTTCGCACGCGAACTGCCCGGACCTGCCAATTACCAGCAGTGGCTTGCCGCTTGGAGGGTGTTCCAAACAGCCTCGGTGATGCTTGACGTTTTCCCTTTAGCCACGCTGCAGTTGTATGAGAGACATATCGAGCGACTCGTGAAGCTCTACGGCTCAGCTTGGCATCTCATCGTGCTGGCAGACGAGAAGGCTAGGGGCGAGAAGCTGGCCAGGATCCGCCTCAAGGTCACCTCCGACATCGCGTTGGGCAAGCCGCCTCCGGACAGGTGGGATGCGACCAGACCATGGATCGCCTGCCTTCACTTGCTGGTGGCGGACACGCAGTTTTGGGATGACCAAGTGCGCTCTCCAGCCAACGCTTGGTTGGCACAAGGCAGCCGCGGCGCGCCACGCGGACCGACCGAGAACTTCGCGGCGGACAACATCAACGGCGGCGTGCTGGCCATCGAACCGCCTATCGACTCGTCTGCTTCCCGGAGATCGGCCAGAGACAGGCGCCAGAACAAGAAGAGGAAGTGGAAGGAGGAGAAGGAAGAGCTGGTCAAGCTTCGCGCGGCTGCGGTCAAGAACAAGGGCGACGGCAAAGGCAAGGACTCGAACCTCAAAAGCAAGGATCAGTCCGGATCCGATTTATGCTTCAGCTGGGACTCTGGGAAGGGAAGCTGCTCGACATGTCAGCCGGGTGACCCCTGCAAAGCAAAAATCACCCGCATCCACAAATGCAGAGTGTGTCTCAGCCCAAGCCATAGAAGCTCGGATTGCCCTCAGAGAGTTTAAAACAAGCAGCCTTCTTTGCTTGTTGCCGGGAGCCATGTGGCATGACGGCAGTTCCTTGCCTAGGTTCGTGTGCTGCTAGGCCGGGGCTTCGCAAGGGCTCACAGGTGCTTGGTCAGGTGGGGCGGGATCCATGTAGGAAGGACGCCCTCCGCCAGCCATAGCCACGCAGCGCATGAAGAAGACGTTCCTGCACCTGTACAGCGGGGCGGAGGACGTCTTGGGGGCCACGATCAAGGAGAAGGCCAGAGCCCACGGCATCGAGGTCACCATCGAGGAGTTTGACCGCGAACGGGGGCACGACCTCCTCGACCCTGAGCTTCTAGCCTCGCTCAGGGCCAAAGCCAAGGCCGGGACGTACGACGACGGCCACGCTGGATCTCCATGCTCTACGTTTTCTCGCTTGAGATGGCGGCCGGCGCCTAACATGCCGGGGCCCGTTCGATCCCGGGATCACCTCTATGGCCTCCCCACCAACACCGCGGCGCAGCAGAGGGAGGCGGACCGCGGCACGCTTATGGCGTGCACCTCCGTGGACATCCTGGACTTGATCTCCGAGGCGGGCGACTCCCTCAACAAGGCGTGCCCCACGACGCTCGAGAACCCGCCGGAGACGGACCATTCTGAGGCGGCCTCCGCATACCTGCTCCCAGAGGTGTCCAGGTTTTGCAGTGCCAAGGGCGCCGAATACGCCGGAGCCGAAGTTCCTCAAGCCGCAACGCTTCATGGGTAAGCTCAAAGGGCGGCAGTCCTTGACACGCAAATGCAGTTGCCCTTCACGGTTTGCTCACCCGATCGGCGGGCTTCGCAGACCGGACTGGGCCGTCGAGAAGCTTCCGGTGCCAGCCTCGAGCACGTCTTCGACAAGTTCGTCTCCAAACACCCGGGCGCCAAGTCAGCCGCGGTGGCTACGGGCAACCCAACTTCAAGCTGAACTTCGTGGAGGAATGGCGAGCGGCGCGCCGGGACCACTTCAAAGTCAAACCTCGAAGACCGCCTGCGCCTCAAGAGCATCCTCCACTACGAAACGTGCGTGGACACCGACCTCCTTAACAGCTGGCTTAGCAAAGCGGGGGACCCAGACAAGGCAGTTGTCGAGTGGCTGGAACAGGGCGCCCCACTGGGAGCCAACCTCGACTGCGGCGTCTTTCCAGATCGGGAACGCGACACGGACGTGGACGAGGACCACCTCGAAGCGCAAGACTACGCCGAGCTTAAGAACTATGCCTCCTTCCGTGACCAGCCGGAGGACGCCCAGGAGGAGATTGCCAGGCTGGTGGACAAGGGCTTCTTGAAGAGGGTCACGCTCGAGCAGGCCACCGCATCTTCCAGAAGCCCGTCTTCAGCAAGCTGGGCCTCATCGTCAAGCAAAAGGCAGACGGGACGGTGAAAAGGCGGGTGATAGTGGATGCTCTGCGGTCAGGTGCCAATCAGATAGATGGCCACATGCCCGGAAAGGATCGTGCTTCCACGCCCGGCCGACATCCACTCGATGCTGACCGTCATGAAGGCCCAGGAGACCGACCTCAAGGACTGCTACCGCCGCAAAGGCATGCCCCAGGACGAATGCGCGGCAGCAGACCTGGTGGACGCCTTCACCCACTTCTCCGTGGCGGAGCAAGAGCTGGCGCAGTGCGTTTTTTCTGGAAGGCGACGGGCAACACGCGTATGTGTTTGTGGCGCTCTTCTTCGGCCACAAGACAGCTCCGCTGCTTATGTGCAGGCTGTCGGCTTTGCTGGCGCGGCTTCTACAGGGATGCTTCTGGACAGCCGAGGTCACTCTTGGATGCTATGTCGACGACCCGCTCTTCGCTTTGGTGGGCTCGCGCCACCGCCCTGGGCGCGGCCTTGACGTGGATAGGCTTCGAGCTCAGGTGGGTCCAAGGCACGCTTTGCGTGCGGATCCCCGACAAACTTCGCGACGAGCTGCTCCAAGCGCTCCGCTCGTGGTCTACCAAGGGCCTGGTGCCAGTGTCCGAGCTGAGGTCGATCGCGGGCAAGGCCACTTGGGCAGCGGGGATCTACCCACGCGCTCGCTTTGCCGTCTCCATGCTGTACAAGGCCCTGAGCGACCGCCAGCAGGACGTGAAGTCAGGAGCAGAGAAGGCCAGGCGGGAAGCAAGGCGGGACGACAGGCCCAAAGACTACCTGCCGCCCTCGGTCATGATCATCACCGACGCCTCACCTCAGGGCTTGGGCGGCCTGCTCCTGGTCAGAGCCACAACAAAGGAGCCATGGACACCTGTCCAGGCCTTCGAGTACGCCATTGGCGCCAACAACGCGGACCTCCTCGGCTTTACATTGTGGCGCATCGTTCCCAGAGCTTCTTGGAAACCCTGGCAATCTGGCTGGCAATCAGGACCTGGAAGGACGTTGTAAAGGACATCCGGCTGGGCTTGACAATCAGAAGCGACTCGTCGGCGGCACTCGGCATCACGGGCAAGCTAGCTTTCGTCGTCGACTCCGGCCATGAACGCACTGGCGGGCGAGATTGCGCCAGGTCGGCGACCTCACGACTCAGCACGTCCCCGGCAAGCTCAACAAGATCGCCGACTGGCTCTCCAGACCGCAGACCCGAGCCGCGAACGAGAAACCCGCCGAGCCGGACAACGTCAAGGTCGTGCCTGTTTCTAGGCTCACAGCCTCAGATTTCAAGATCCTAGGTGCCCGGGTGTCACATGACGCGACAACAGCGGTGTCGACTGCCTGGGCAGCCATCCTGGGATGACATGTCAAAAAGTCCGTTGTTCACACTAAGCATGGGAGTCTTGATGCAAACGGTGTGCACCAAACATGTACAATCAGTGTCTCCGCTAGCACAGCCGCCTCCAAGCATGGAGTTAGTGGTTTCTAGCCACGCAGTAGCCGATCCCTGGCTCAGCGCAGGTGCACGAAATTGGGCATCTCCTTCTGGCGGCTTGCTGCGCGTGGACGGCGCTCACCTTCCCATGGCTGGCGCCGCGACTCCTCTTCTTCGCGGCGAAGATGGTCATGAAAGCGCTGATGGTGGCGGCGCGGGCAGCCTGGAGTGTGGCTCCTTGCAGTCACGACCCGGAGGGAGCACGTGGAAGCAGCAGAGGCCGCAGCCCGGCGGCAAGGGCGAACCGCCCAAGTCGGGGTCCGGCATCGCCCTCTGGAAGCACGAGGGCAAGCACGACCACCACGGAACCAGCAGGCGACCGACCACCTCTTCAAGGCCGCGGCCCACGCTTTCGGCAAAGCGTCCGGCGCCGACCAGATCGACAAGATCACGCTCGAGAACCCCCGGCAGACGCGGCGGAGCACCTCGGGACCAACAGGCAGCCGGGCGTCGCAGCTCCACCGCCGGGTTTGGTGAGAAGCTCCCCTACGGCAACGCCGAGAAGGACCTATGTGGACAACCTGGTTCCAGCGCCACCCGGGCCGGAATCGGCAGCAACGGGCTCCAGGACCTCGCGGCCTCCTTTGGATGGACTTCCCCGACATTCCGCGGCTTCCACCTTGGGGACCAGCACACCCACAGGCACAACCTTATGGGCCGGCTCAACTCCGCGGGCGACATACGCCTGGGGAACAGAGAATTCAGTTCACAAGAGTGCGCGGCTCGAGGATCGACAAGGCCATAGACAAGCTCCTCGGCAAGGCTACTCCGACATTCTGGCGGGCTCCGGCGACTGGCGGGACAACCTTGGGACCGTCTTGCACGCCTTCTGCTTCCTCGACTACATCAACGGAGACACCGGAGGACGACCCGCTGGCTCCAAAACCGGCAGGCAGGGCCAAGTTAGCCTTGGCCCTTCGAGTGGCTTCGTCAGCGTTTGACTTGGAGCAGGCCGTCAAGGTTCTCAAGCAAGGCTTCTTCGCGGAGACCAACCAAGCACCCAGGGCGGCAAGAGAACAAGAAGCGGAGCGCCTGCTGCAAGCTGTGGTGAAGTGCGCCGCTTCCCTCAAAGCAGCCGGCTACAAGTCTGCCAGTACCTACCTGAGCGTGTTGAAACTTCTGCGTGTGGAGAAGGACTTCCAGGTGGGCCCGGCTTTGCAGAGAATATTCGACTTGTGCAACAGGGCCCTAAAGAGGGGACAAGGACCGGCGGCGAAAGCACCGGAAGTGCAACTCGATTCCTTCAGCCGTGCAGGCAAGCAGGCCAACCTTCGCCCGGAGAAAGTGGCGTTCCCCCTACGCCCTGGCGCTCAACTTCATGCTCCGGCGCCTCGAGCTGGAGATGCTGAAGGCGAAGGACGTCCAGGTGGCCCCGGACAAGTCCACGGTCACGATTTTCATCAGAGGGTCGAAAATGGACCAAGAAGGCCGTGGCGTATCTAGGACCTTGGGCTGCACTTGCAAGACTTCGAAGGCTTCCTGCCCCGTGGAGCTGGCGAGCGACCTCCTGAAGTCCACCTACGATACCTGGCCTGCGGCTCGGGACGATCCGGAAGCCTGGCTGGTTCGCACGACAGAAGGCGAGCGCGCCACGAAAGCCACAGTGGTTTCATCCTGGGGGATGGCAGCTGGCACGGCCATTCAGGGTCACTCGGCAAGGAGATCGGGAGCGCTGTACTACACGAGGGCGGGTGCCCCGGTTCCGGAGATCACCTACCTGGGCAGGTGGCGCAGCGACTTGGTCTTCGAATACGCGGAAGAAGCTTGGGCTTCCAGACCCTGCAACATGGAGCTTAGCAAAGAAAAGAAACCGGTGGCGACAAAGGCGAGACCGAGCCAAATGGCCACCGAACCACCCGCACCGGTTCCCGCCATCGAGGACCTGGCGATGACCAAGCCTAAGTATGTGCGCAGCTATGGAAGGAGCACCGTGGCACATCTCCTTCAAGACTCAGGAGACGCCACCTCGGCTTCGTGGCGGACCAAGTGCGGCTGGCATTTTGCCAGAGGCTCTACGCACTTCAAGTTGTTGGCCAACCTCACCGCAGACCTCAGGCGTTGCAGGAAGTGCCGATCCGAGCCCATCGAGAGCACGCGGCAAGCCAGCGGGCAGGAATTGGGCGTGCGTCAATGCACAGGATCTGGACCCGAACGCAATGGGAAAAAGTGACCGCTCCTGCATTTCTTCAGGGTGGAGGGCGGGACTTGAGCGGCTAAGTGTCTTTGTAGAGGCTCTAATGGGGACTAGTACAGTCCCTTCGAATTCTCATACATTTCTTGTTCTAGGGGCTACCCATTTTGAGAACCACTCAAGCATTGGCAGGTCCGTCAGAAAGGGGCCTGCAAGCCCTGAACTCCTCACTGATTTCACGCAGATTTTTGCTTTTACAACGAAACATTCGAAGCACATTCGAACGCAAAAGACCTGGCTAAATTCAATCCAGTCAGCTCGTCACTTGTGATCGAACTGTTGCTCTTTGTTCATGTGAGGTGCCACTTCCTCCTGTCTCAGTCTGCATGCATGTAGCAAGGACGGCATGGGCCCAGCCATCAGCTCCAAGTGTGGCTAATTTGGTGAGTTGTCCTTTACCTCGAGCGCCCTTCCGGGCCTCTCATGACCATGGAAGCGCATGTCCAAATCTGTGACGGGCACAAAACTCTGGAAACTGAAGAGTCCAGGATGTGCAGGGAAAAGTCCAGCAGCAGAGGTATTTGACTGATCTGGCATCCGTGAGGTACAAGTCTGCCATTTGGTATCACAACGAGGAGCAGAGGAAGCTAGCAGAGAGCAAGATGGAGGAGCTTTGGCTCTTCGCGTGCAGCGCACCTACCCTACAGCAAATAGCTTGCCTGATCAAGTCAATGTGCAGGAGATCGGAGCAGGTCCTGTCGTCGATGTTGACGAGGCCACATGCCAATGCATAGTTGAAACGCCAGCTGCAATCAATCGGAACCCAGAAGAAGAATACGCCAACACAATTTCAGGAGGCTGTTTCAGCATCTTTCTTGGAGCCGCTGAAGCCTTGTCAGGCCAAGCCCTGGTATGATGCCGAGGACAGGAAAGGGATCGCAGCACAAGCGCCAAAAGTTTCTAGGTTTGCACGAGCCTGGTTGGCGCTAGTCTGTACTGCGCGATTTTTGCCTGAAGGATTACCACCAGAAGTACTACAGCAAAGCGAACTGTGCTGTGATGTAGGAGGTACCCGAGTACTACTTAACAAGTTGCTTTACATCCGAAAAGTGAGGCTTGCAAGCCTTGCGTTTCATTCTTTGAAATTGTACAGGCTTTTAATTCCGACAGAGGCCTCATGGAATCCCACTGGAAAGAGCGAATGACTCGTGCCAGATGCTTTTGGCAAGCTGCAGAGATGTTGGAACATTCACAGTTCTGGGGAACTTCTGATCAAGCAAAGCAGCCAGCGCGGCGCACGACGATGGCCGCTTTCCCTCGGGTTCCTAGACATGGCCTGCAAGTCGAGATTGTGCACACAGATGCTCCAGGACATTTGGAGTGCAAATTTTCAACGCCAGCAGGGTGGCAGGATGTTTTTCTGCTCGGCGTTCAGAGACTCAAAAGAGGCCGAAAGTGACTTCACATTTGGGTCGCCAAAGCAATATCACATGGCTTCACTCGACAGTTTGTGATTGGCCGCAGACGCAAAGCTTCAGATGATCGACGTACCCCCAAAGGATGGTCATTCCCCAAGCTACTGCGGAATCCCCATTATACTGTAATTTCTGGGGTGTGAGGCATACAGGTGGGGGTGCAAGATTTCCTCCATCCAGAATCCACGTTTGGGATTCGATTTCAAACGCGTTGCCAAAGATCGCAACTGCACTCATGGCTCCACCTGCCCTCACAGATTCCAGCTACTCACCGAATATGGGGGGTTCCCACCATTGGGGGTACCTTTTGGGGGGTCTCCGTCATAAGGATTACAGTATTTTGAACTCGCCGGGGTCCCCCTATTTAGGGTTCTCTGATGTTCTCTGGATGAGGCATGCTGGTGGAGAGCTTCCAGATGTTTGTGGCCAGCGCGGACGCGCGTGCTTCCAATATGGTCACTTGGCACATGCGAAAGGTCCCAAAGTGCCCCCAAACCTGGGCTCCCCACATCTCATCACATACCCTTTGTACCAACCTTTGTCTGAGATGCCTGCCTGCTTATGTGGTGAATCAAAACCTTGTTACTAGATAGTCAAGCAAGTCTGAGGTGGCAAAGCTCTGCAGGGAGGCCATCGGCCCCTGCTCCTCCAGCTTGGCATGGGCATCCAACGGCAGGGTGAGCCCCGCCATAATGGCTGGTGCAGTAGATGTTTCTTTGCCGTATGGGTTGAAGCCTCGCTCCTGCAAAACAAGGCAAGTTGTTCACACGATTTGCCTTCTGTGCGTTGGTGCTTACGCGCCCAGGATGCAATCAAGTAGCCGGTCACAGCCATGCCTTAACATGACAGCACGGATGCTACTTGCATGAAGTGCCTGACCAAGGCCATCGCATTGCCACAAGTGGCACCCGACTGGCTCGAGGAAAACATTGTTGCTGAGGCAGCTCGAATAGGGAATGAAGTCCCCAAGCAGCAGATGATCTTCCAGGCCCGCCAATGCAGAACTTTCTATACTCAAACTTTCGATTTTTGCTGATGACACTTCTGCACTTGATTTGCATGTGGTCCGAGGTGGCGGTGACGGCACGAGACTGAGTTTCTATCATGACCAGAGAGCGGTGTTTGACTGACCGGCTTGCTTGCGAGCATGACCGCACATGGCAACATGGCAAGGCTGTCGCAGTCGTAGTACCCACCCACCTTCGCTTGCTAAGGTCTTGGCCGCGCTGAACTTGCTGTGCCTGGTAATGCTTGTGCTCGCCTGCCGGGCGGTTCGTTCTGAGGCCATAGCGAAGATCATCGAGGAAACCTGGGAAGACGCAAGATCTCATTCACACTTTATCCACGTTCTTCGCGACAGTTACAGGGTATCCATCGGATTGCTATCCTTGGTGGTGGTGATCTATGCGCTTCTGAGCCGTTTGACACGCCTTCCGCATCCTTCTGCATTTGTTGTAGGTTGGAGTCCAGCTTTCGTGCCTGCTTGGGTATTGCTCCAGCTCGTGACCTTCGTTCGTTTGATGGCTGCCTTGTCAATGAGTCAAGTTGAGGGCCTCTATCAAGAAATGGAGTCAATTGGAATGGTGAAGATTGATGGCCGGGACTTTGCAAATGTAAAGTCAGGTCATTGGCTGTATCTACTTCGGAGACACCAAGAGCTTCTTCGAGATTTGAAGTCCATGTCCATAGCAATCTCGTCGACTGTGCTAGTTTTTCAGAACGTCGTGGCTGGTTCCAGTTTACTGCTGCTATGGGTTGCTCGTGCATGTCAACTCGACCGCTGGGCCTCCACGGGCTATGTTTTGCTAGCTTTCACCATGGGGTGTTCTGGAATATTTGCCATGCTGCCCCTCGCGTACATCACAGACCTGTGCCAGTCCAGGCGCTTTGGTAGGCGATCACTGCTTGCTCTGGCAGACAAGTACAGCGGGTGGCCCATGTCGGCGGAGGTTCATGCAGAGTACATGCGTTTCATGCAGCACCTTAACACTTCAGAGGCGGGAATCTACATTCCTACCATGGGACTGGTCACAAGATCGTCCCTTTCCAATCGGATAATGCTGTATGTCAAGGTTCTGCCACTTGCGCTGGCCCTAACACTGGGCTGGTGGCGAAGAGGATAGGTGCGAAGAATCATCAAGACTTCCTTCGTCGGCAGAAAGCTTCCGAGTTAATTCAGAAGATGTTATGGCACCTTCTGGTCACATAAGATGCTTTAAAGAGAAGTTGCTGCGTGCTTTCCAGTTGGCTCGAAGCTCCAAGCACCCGCCCAACGAAGTCGAGAGTTGCAGTCGCGCCGTCATGCCCCGCCCTCACATCAATTAGCATGCCAACACTGGGTTTGGAAGCGTTGGCCTTCTTGCTTGCCTAATTTTGCCTGTCTGTTCCCAGTAGTGGTCAGGCCTTGCACTCCCATGATGCTCCGAGTGGCCCTGATTGCTGTGGCTGCACCTGCCTTAGGATCCGACACCTGAGGATGGGTAGTCATCATTTGGATGTCAGGTCTTTGCTGGAGATGCCGCCCGCCTGAAGCGACGAAATGTGCCAACTCCAAAGCAGGTGCTTCGATGCGGCTCCTTCTAAGTAAGCATCTCTTCTTACAAGCGGCAATTGAAAGCATCCCTGTTCGGGCAGCTCTCTGGCGTGGACTATGACGGGAAGACTCCGATCCTAATCGAGGTTTCTGCAAACTCCAGGGCACATCTACTTACTGGGGGTGAGTAGGGAAGAAGGGAATATAATGTAATCCCTAACCTAGTGTATATATATATAATATATAATCTATTCCCTTATTCCCTACTAACCCTAAACTCTAGACCCTAATCCCTAAACCCTAGACGCTATTCCCTAAACCCCTAAGCCTTTGCTAATCCCTAAACCCCCCAGCAAGTCTAGAGAACATGAGCACATGCCGAGGTTGGTGCTGCCGACTCGGGGCCTTCCTGCGCAACTTGGCAAGAGATGAAGGGATCCCTTTGGCAAGTAATGCTATGGTATATTATATTGGGGTTAAGGGTTTAGGGTTTAGGGTTTAGGGTTCAGGGTTTAGGGTTTAGGGTTTAGGGGTTTAGGGTTTAGGGTTATGGTATGTTAAAGTATGTTGTAATATATTACAGTATATTATGGCATATAGATGAGCTATCGTCTAAACTCCTAAAAGGGGATTATATAGGGGACGATATAGGTTTGGGGTTTAAGGTCCAAACTCCTTAAGGGGAGTATATAGGGGACGATTATAGGGGTGTAGAGTTTAGACTATAGCTGGCTCATTTGCTATTGCTAAAGCCTTCTGAGCCAGTCTTATCAGCTTCACACCAACCACGTATAGTCCCCCTTAAGTAGATAGAATATGGGGTAAATGGGGATCTTATTACAATATACCCAAAGCCATATTCGATATACTTAAAGGGGGACTATGTATTGCACCATTCTCATGCTTCTCCTGAGGACAAGATCAAATGCGCTGATCCGCTGATCTGCCCACCTTCATTCCAGAAGACCAAGGCAGAGAACTGAGGCTTTCTTGAAAAAAGTTTGAGGGCCTTCATAAAATCTATAAGGCAGGGCTCCCAAAATAGGGACCCCACAATTTCCCCATTATCCCTGCGGCATGTATTCTGTGGCCATATTTTGGGAAACGCTCACGTGCTAGGTGGATGGCCATTGCTGTCTGGACCCCAGTACTTGGTCAGGGGATGCTATCACACTTTTGCTTGTGGGCTAAGTGAACCTCAGAGTTGGAGGCCCCTACTGCATCAACCCAGACATCAAGATCGAGCCCGAGGCCAGGTAGCTGTGACAAGAGGCTGGGAAGCTTACAGCTTCTAGGCCCAGCTTGGAAAGGTGACTGGTGCGACTGGCAAATCCGGTGGCAAGAAGAGCACGCACTGCCCAGAGGTCACGAAGCCAATCTTGTAGAAGTAGTTTGCGACGCAGAATGGGCTGGCTGCATGCAAAATCTTATAATTATGGCGGATTTACTGAGTCTACTGCTACAAGAAATGATCACAAGCCATGCTTATTTGTCATTGTTGCCAGCATCCATTCCAGAACCCGTTCCAGGTGTGGTGTTTCCCAACCATGTGCAAAGAGAAGGAGGTACGGTGTACCGTGAGCCTTGCTGCTGGAGAGCTTGGTCTTAATTCACGACATCCGTTGGTGACTGGCAGGTCATGCCCACCTTCGACAATGGAATGTGCTGCCCACAGTGCCCTGAGTGAGCAAGCGGCAAAGGATTGGAGTTTGAGAGCTCCTCAGAATCCTCGAGCCCAAAAGTTCATAGCCAGCAAAGCTGACTTCTCTCGCAAGCACGTAGGATGTGAAAGTAGCAGTTCCAAAATTGATTGGCTCATACCTTCATGATGCCATTCAAAGCCGTGCGACATGTTGATCAAACGCCAAGTGTGCTCCAACCGGAAAAGAAGTTTATCTGGCATTCAACTACGTAGCAACGCGGCTGTTCCATCTGGACAGTTCCGCGAATTTGTGTCTTGGAAGTCCTTCTTCTCTTCGCTGTGAATCACCTTCCCGCCTCCAACACTGGGAAGATTCTTGTTGTGAAGGTTGTGGTGGAGACACAACATGAACACTCCGCCGAAAGGTTCAAGTGAGGTCAGCATGAGAGATCTCCAAAACGCGAACGACCATAACCATTGAAACAAACAATGAGATCGGCTATGAATGAAGATGGAAAAGAAGCCGAAAGTCAGCACGTTTACATTGAGCTTGCATGCTTTGCTAACATACTACTTTTGGCGCTCTGGTTGATCAACATTGCCGATTGCAATTGTGGGGGGGGCCATTTGCCTTGCATGATTCCGCCAACAAGCTGAGGGTTGCTTTCATTGTGGGCTGCTTCCATTTCCATCGCGCATGTAACCTTGAACACATAGTTGGCCGCCGGAATGCTTTCAGCTCACGCATGTAGCTGGAATGGAGGTCCGGGCCCTAACTTTTCCAAGCTTATGCGCTGACAAAAGGTTCAGTTGCTGCAGCTCAGCTGTCGTTCCGGTTCAGGTTTCCAGCTTTGGATAACAACATGACCAATGTCAAAGCAAGGGCCGGGCTTTGGTGTGCATGTGTTGGCAGCATGTTGAAAGGCTCAGTGTGACAACTGAAAGGCCTGGACGATTTGGGAGTTGCCCTTTGCAATGTCCTTGCCAATATCGGGTGCGTATGATGTCCAACCCCCGGCATGGAAATTAGCGTGTGCACCGAATCCTTGATTGCAAGCTCCAGGTGTTGCTTGGCAACCGTGTCCACTGCAGCTGTCATTGCAGCATGGCTGGAGCCCTCGCAGAATGCTGAGACACGCGGATTTGGGCATTGGTCCCATGGCCTTGCTGAGGTCTCAAATCAAAGAACTTTCTTGGGAACGCAGTGAGCGTCTTCCTGGTGTGGCGTCGCTGTTGCTGTCAAGGATTTGTTCCACTGCCAAACTGCATGCCAGTCCCAGTGCGAATTCCTCCACCAGATGGTGAAGAAGCGGGGAAGGCCTCTCTTTCCTGCGATGGTCTAACGTGCGTCAACTACAGTGGGTCAAGGAGTCTGAGCCAGACCTTCCACCAGAAGTCATCGATGACGTGCCCTGCTCTGCAACATGTTGCTCGAATCTGTCTCCAGTTGTTCGCTCCTAACCAGTGTACGTCCTCCCCGATCCATTTGCCGCCAAGGGTGAGCCTGACAAGGGCAATGGCGAGAATCAGGCCTGCCATTTTCGGGAAATGCCTGACATTTCAATCAAAGAGCATGAGCCCTCAGCAACCTAAAGCCAAATCAAATCCAGAAACCCGCTTATTGTACCTGAACCCTAGACCCAACATCTATCCTCCAAACCTCTATGGATTGATTAGGCGGCTCCCCACCCTGTAATAGTGGTATAACAGGAAGATAAGAGGACCTTAATTTGTATAGCTACTTCCTATTATCCCTTATAGTCATTTTTTACTGGGTGGGGGGTCCACCTAATCTACAGACCTCAATCCCCAAACACAACCCTGCTAAGCCTTCACCCTGAGCCCATCCCAAATTGGTACAAGTCCATGCCAACGGTCATTGAAAGACCACGGAGGCGTTCACCAACCACAAACCCTAAACTCACCGCAGCCCCCAACTTCAAACCAACCCAAAACAAGAAAGTCTAAACCCAAAGCCCACCCTAAATGCAAAACCCAAGAGACTAGACTCAAGACGGCCCAGGCCCAAATCCACCCCAAATAAGACGCACAACTGGCCGCCCGAAGTGACTTCCTGACGCACAACGCGAAAACATCAATGCTAGCGGCGCCCCACTGGCGTTTGCGGGCGCCGCGTGAGCCCTGTGAGGTGCCTGTCCATGCAGACGATGGGCCTTCTGACGAAGCACAGGACTGGGTATCTAGATGTATCTAGCACAATGTCAGGTCTCTTCCGTACTTTCATGCACTTTCCACTTTGCAAACAGGAAGATGCCGACCTCATGCATCCTGAGAATGGTGAGGCAAGCACGCTCTCATGCTCAAAGCATGTTCAAACTGAGTATCGATTTCTCATCAGCGTCCAGTTTTCACAAGGCCACAGATGGAAGCAGAATGGCAGAGTTGCCGCCCAATCAGGCTGGATGTAGCAGCGCACTTTGCCTGCAAGTTCTCATTCCTGTCTGAGGGTTTCCGAAAATTAGTGGTGCTTTTGGGGGGTACCCATTTTAAGGATTCCAGTATATTGGGGTCTATATTGAGATTCGCCCTATGTATGGGAACCTATTACATAACCATGTGCAGCAGGTGCAGGATCAGGGGGCTAGACCAACAAGCTTGCAGGGGCCTTGATCTTGCCATTGTTGCGCTTGTACTGGATGAGTGTTGGCCAGTATGAGGGGAGAGTGGTCCGTGAACGGGGGCCCAACAGGGACCTCAAATACACTCTACTCAGCTCCTTATAATGATAGGGCCTCCTAGAAGACACCCCTAGCCTTTGGAAATCGCCCATATGACACCTGTGTTACATGTATATATTTGTATGCCTAAAGCCTAAATCCCAAGTGTTAATCCCTAGCTCTAGATCCCAAGCAAAATACTGTGTAGATTCAGGTCCAAGTTGTATTGCGCCTAATAGGAATTCATGTCCATGAACTATTTGGGAAATGTTGACTGTAGCTCACAGGAGCCATAGTCTAAACTGCGAGTACCCCTCTCAAAAAGCCCTAAAATGCTCCCCTAGAAAATCTCGTATACTTCTGGACCCTGAACCCCAAACCCTACATANNATACTCCCCTACGTAACCCCCCCTTTATGTAGATTCAGGTTGGGCATTTATCAGCAGCTCTGTCGAATGGGGATGCGCTCTCCCGGTGCGATCAGGCAGCTCGGTGAGATGGGACCGTTCCTGGGTTGCTGTTTTACCAATATATGAGCTATAGTCTA